CCCCGCCCTACTTGAGGATATGGTATTATTAGCCCGGGTTATTACGGGATCGGTATTGATACTCGATCGATAGGATTGTAACGATCGCCTTAGCTCGCCGAGTACCAGGTGGGATCGGTGCTCATCGAAGCGCGAATGTTATGATAAGAGAGGTCGACCATCCAGGAACCCCCACGTGGAACACAGATAAACTTCTTCTGAGCACAGTAACTCCTGGTACACACGCATCCTCTATGCTATCTACTTGGTACATGCTCGATACATAGGTAGGTCGATCTGAACACGGACTCGATCTTCGACGTAGTCGATAACTGCCGATAACCGGTAAGAATGCCAGTGCGGTAACACGAGACACGGTCCTAGGAAGTTCCTTCCTCGTAGAGGAGAATGAACCGTTAAGGGAGAATATATCATTGGTTTAAAATAAAAAAAAAAAAAGGATCGGTATTTAGATCTGGAAAAGAATTAGTTAATCTTGTGACATGCTCATACGAGGTGCTCATGCTCATGCTCTTTTTACAGGATGGACTTACGAGGAATGACGACAGGATCCTGGCTACTTGTTTGAGTCTCTGTCGAGCTGGTAGCTGCAAGGATCAAGCAACTGCAGGTGAGGATCTAGGATGATCTATAAAAATTAATTTTTTTTTTTTTTTTATGAAATCGTCCAGGTTACTCAAAGACCCTATTTTTGTGTATTCCTGTAGAAGAGGGTCAACCTAAACGTCTACGTCGGGAGGTGGTGCTGCTCACTGAGGATCGTAATCTAAGGGTGAAGGCTCTGGCAAGGGATGTACCAGTGAGGGAGGTGCCGGACTTTATGCAGTGGGCAGGTCTCGGATGAGTCTCGTTATTAGCAAATCTCACGTCACGCAACAAAAAAATCTAACCAATCACCGTGCGCCACGTCATCGCCTCACCGGAAGTGAGAGACTCGTCATTCGCGAATCTTCATCGTTCTCATAATGTAAGTCCTACGTACGATGCATTAGAGTTGAGAGATGAATCAAGTACAAGTCTGCGTGCAGGGAAGGGTAGGGGCTACGTACTGAATTACGAAGGAGGGTAGAAGGAGGAGAAAATTAAATAATGATAATGACAATGTTCGAAAGAAATATGATGGTTAAATTAACGTGCGAGACTGAGTGCGCACGTGCATCTATCTGTTTTACTTCATTTCTCTGATAATTTCTTGTCTTGTTTTTTCTTTTTTTTTTTCCTCGAATCGTTCAGCTAATCCAGCCCCTTTTAAATCGACGAAATGCTCGGAAGCAGAAACACACGGCAAGGAAATGAAAGGAGGAAGTGTAAGGGTCACGTGCGGACCGGAAGCTGAGTATAGTAAGCGGATTATGCGCGATCGGACGGATGAAAGAAAAAATAAGTAACAGTTTAAGAGAAGAAACGGAGAATTCAGTGAAACTGCGGACTCGAGGTGAATTCGCGCAGTGAATTTTCATTTTCTTTTCCTTTCCTTAATTTTTCATTATTTTTCTTTTTTTTCCCTCGCTTTTTGATTTTCTTACGTTGCTTTTATGACGAGTGGGTCATTCTATTGTGACCGGATTGTATTCTTTAATCGTGTTTAAATAATATATTTGTAACATTTTCATTTGTATATTATCCTTTTTAAATGGTACTGTCTTAGAAAAAGCGTCGCGACGCTGCCACTTATACTAATTGTTTTTTTTTTTTAATTAGCTACTATGTAAAACTGACTTTATTTCATTAAGTAGACTTATCGTTACTTGTTCCTGCAAGAGAAAGAGAATGATCTCTTTTCCAATATTCTTTATTTTCTTCTACAACGAAATTATTCCCATTCACGATTATCCCCACTACACTGCCATGGGGATTGTTACGTGTCGTCCATGTATCTTTGTACCAAACCACCTGTCATAAACATGAATGCTTATAAATACACGTTATCGCAATGAACGACTGAACCCAAGTGTTCGAGAACAAGGCTAAACAACCATAAAAGCTTATGTCTAAATAATTCACCCACTGTCCGAGGTACGTTAATCATTGAAACACCGATCACGTGGTGCACGTTAATGCGTATGCCCTCGCTCGTTAAGACATCCAAACAATATCACAGCCTGGTAGGTTTGATACGTCGATTAAAAGACAATGGGAAATTCGTGCGATAGCACCGTACCAAGAGCACGACTCAATTAACGAATTCTACTTGGAAGTGCGTCACTTTCTCACGTTTGAATCTCGTGCAACGTATCTCAATTGGCGTACCGCCCGGGCGGCCATTGTTGTCCCACGTGACTCACCGCGCATGCGCAATGCGTGTCGTCAAACAAGACGGACAACACAACCAACGCTACAGTCCCACTCGGCATTTAGTACAAGTGAAGATAGTAAGAAAATGTCCGTTTCCAATCGTCCCCATCAAATCGTCTCACCCATTGAATACGGAGTTCTCGTTCCATCGTTTGATAACGCGAATACTCCTCACAAGTGGCTATCGTCGTCATCGCAATGGCTTATCACTGTCCCGACTATCAATATCCTTCCAGTTTATTCAACACTATGTAACTCGGTGGTAAGGCCTGAGCAACGATAGCCACGCTAATAAGAGTACCGGTTGAGATAGTGATAAGTGCGAGTAGTAACGACAGGCATAAAAGGCCGATACAGAAGAGAAAAGGGAGTAGTAAGTAGTAACAGTAGCGATAAACGCTCCTGACAGAGAGCAGGTCGACGCATAGAGGTACGACACTTAATATTTTTCTTAACGCCCACGACGACTATTCACTATTTTACGCACTCTCAGATTTTAGATATGAAATTCTCATACCGCATGACTCCACGTTCCTTATCATCTTTTCTCTGTACGATTTTCATTTTTTTTAACTCACCCTCCCCCATCGCGCATACGTGTCCTCGTACGTGCACGCGTGATAACAGGAGCAGCGACTGGGAAGTTGGATCGAATTTTTTTTCTATTGTAAATTCACCGATGGCGACTATACATGTGTATCGGTCTTATTTTTATTGACATTTAAGGCACGATGATTCTCAGCGAGATTACGGAATGTCGTGACGATAACTTTTAGTGGTTACGGTTGTAGGTTATGTTGCTAGATATAATAACGTCGACGTCGAGTCGATGTCCTGTATGATAAAAAGAAATTAAAAAAACAAATAGGATAACAAACATTCCGCAAGACTCGGTGCGCGCGCACCTTTGCCTTTCGGTCCCCTCGTGCGCATGTACCGTCTTACGTACTTGATCCCCCCCCCCATTTTTCATTTCTTTTAACACTTTTTTTTGCACCATTACTTTTCTCTCTCTTCTCAATTACGTTCTTTGCCTCGACAGAAATTAGCTACTTAATTGTATATGCTATAACGGTTGAGCTATAGCGTAACTACGATACATCGCGTCTACTGCGTGCGTGTAGTGTGTGTGTGTGCGCACATGTTACCGAGTGAAAAAGGAGAGTGAAAGAAAGTCCCGAGATTGCAGCGTGAAACGTGAGAGTGGAAAAAGATTGCGTAATTTCATATCGGCACACAATGACGTTTGTATACGAATTTTTTTGTCGCGTACATAACCCATACCAATTTTGAAACCAAAAAAAAATTTTCGGGTAATAAAAATTTTTTTTGGTCACGTTCCAGAAATCTTTTTCCACCTCTCAAATCGTTCTCTGGCACCCAACATAATTGTAGCTCAATTTAAAAAAATGTTCACTCGCGAGGAAACCGACAAGAGGGCGCGCGTACCGATACGCGCGCTACGACTCACCGTCATTGTTTTCACTACTTTTTACGTATTTAGATAATAGGCGTGTATCATTACCGAAGCGTGAGTTAGACAATGATACCGATAAAAAGGAGAGCGGGTTCAATATCGTATGACCTTAGCAAGCCCACCCCTCTCTCTCCTCTTATTGTAAAACCAACCCGTAAGATGACTTAAATTGCAATTAGTTTAGATCATAAAGAAAAAATAGAAAAAGAAATTAAAACGATCGACGCACGTCGACACGAAGAAGCGTCTGGGCCCAAAATAATAAAACTGACAGTCGACGCGTCAAACAGGCAACACACAACATACAAGCGAATATTTCATTTGTATTTTCGTCTCAGGAACAGAGTTTTACTGATATGATAAAATTAGATATAAACAATACTACATACTATCAGAAGTGTCGCTATAGTGTTACCACTTTATTATTCAATAATAATAATAATAATAATAATAATAATAATAATAATAATAATAATAACGTTGATACAGTATTTCGTTCATTATTTCAATCCCCACCACGACTCCCCGCCCTAAATCAAAATCTCATCCACAGATACGATCCCTTCAGCAGGATCCAACCTAACCTCTAATTAATGAACGGTCTCTTCTGGATCTCTTCCCATCGCCCATAGAGGAAGAGGAATATTCTTCGCATTTCCATGTGGCTGCATTCCTACGTGCTCGGCGTGTGTCTGTGGCCACTTTACCCAGTTCACGAGATTTAAGCCCATAAAGCATCCTGAAGCGGCTACCGCATGGCCGACCCGTTGACACAGGCGACCCCGTTACATTGAGGATTGTAGTCGTCGGCAGCATCGTTGTGACTGTAGTGCATTGTGAATGCCTATTCACGTACACCGAATCTGTAATATATATATATAGCGACGGGCATGGGGCTGTGACGAGGAAGGGGAATCCCCTATATCCCTCTTATTCATTCTGTCTCCCTCGCTCTTCAATACCCTCCTCAACCTATTCGCGAAGCCAGCAACTTTTTACAAAACTGTCCAATAAACCGTTACAGCGCCTGAACAGCCGCTACGCCCGCCTTGAGAACGCACTTCTTGTCACTCGGCAACTTTGGCCTATTGACGTATGTACTACTTGCCACATGAGCACACGTGATACCCGAACGTCTCTGCATGACGACCGGACTCGTAAGATAATCTAGTTCAACAATGATTTAGAATCTAATTTCACTTACGTCGAATTGAGCCAGTGGTCGGTACCCATTAGAACGTAGCAATATATATACTCCATCTAGAATAACTCTTGGATCTCATATAAGCCCAATACAACTAAACCCCATCTATACCCCATGAAATCCAATATGGCCGTGCATATAAACAACATTATTTTGATCAACACGGTAACCTTGAACTTGCCGCCATCATCAATAAAGAGAATTATCTAATTCCTAAGCAGACAATCGAAATCCTAACTAAGCTACCGCATATCTTACCTACCTAACCTATTTAGGTACCTACTACGCTAAAGAAAGACAAGGAGTACACCGGCGTGATGCGTTAGGCCTTTGCGTTGGCTACACGTAGATCGTAGAAGGTTGGTACGCGAAAGGCCGACGGTTATAATGCAAACGTTCAAGCATTCGTAAGTTTAACCAACATAGTATCTATGCTAGAGTATATATCGATTTTTATTTATATATATATATATATATATATATATATACAAATACATACTGTAAATACATAACATGCATATGGAGGCATGTATCCCTCTACGTCTCTCTCTCTCTCTCTCCCTCTCTCTCTCTCTCTCTCTCTCTGTATGTATCTTTAACTACACTATCCTTAGATACATAGTGCACTACGTATTTATACGTGTAATACGTAAGAACGTACGCGCGGTGGTATGTCTGTCCCGAGTCGGACATTCATGATAACTCTCGTAGGAGTTATGCGGTAGCCACGCGAGATAGCATAAACTTGAGGATTATCTGATCGCTATAACGGGTGTCCCTTGTATAATTCGCCAAGGGTATCTTCAGAGGAGATTATACCGTGGCAGGAGGTGACGAGAATTACGTTTAGGAAGAACAGTGTACGTGAGGGAGAGAGAGAGATAGAAAAAAAATTCCCTAGATTTTTCACTAGAATCTAGTTGGGAAAGAGATACGTGGATACGCATTGGCGTAGTCGGTTTTATTATTTAACGGGATGTAGTTTGGCACCCCTGAGGACAAAAGTTCAAGTTCAAGAGGTCGTTGTACGCTCTTCGGGTTTGGCTTTCGGCCAGGATACTATACCTACTAGGTGGTTGGTAGTAGAGGCGCAAGGCGCCAACCTCGAGGGCGTAGGTATTACGTATGATTGTACGAAGTACCTGAAATGCCTGTACGTGAGTATACAGGGTGTAGAGACATACGTGCTATATGTATGAAAAGAGAGAGATGAGAGAGGGAGAGTTCACCCTTTTCAAGGAATACGATCGTGGCCTTTTTTCCCTGTTTTAGTCGTTTCTTCCATTGTCCAGATCCCACGCGCCTTTCCGAACTGTTATACAATGTATTCGAGTCGGGTTACCGAGACGCGTGGTTTCAGTTTGACCAGTCGGTATGCATATATGCTTGAAATAATATATATAGTATAAGGGTCAACTCTCCGAATACTTGCTAAAGTTTGTACGAACGGGTTGTATTTGCGGCTTATGAAACGCATGCAAAGTCTGAGAATTTTTTTTTGTTTTTATTGCATTTATTGTTTCACCGCCTCCTGGCCACGTGTTTCCCTTGCAGAGTGAATGCTGGCTACTCTTGAATCAGGAGGCAGTCAGGTACGCAGATACTTTTTATTATATGTGGAACAAATTTATTATTTTTTTACATATGTATATTTTGTTACGAATTATAATGACGTATGAAAATATAAAGAGTGACGTTGTTATTGAGCAAAGGAAAAGGAATTATGCCAGAGAGAAGACAGATCGAGGAATGAGGAGGCTGGTTGTGAGAATGAGACATTTGAATTTCGCGGGTAAACTATAAGATATTTAAAATTTTAAGTCTCCACTGTCGAGCGGTACAGAATATTTTGAGCGAGAGAAAAGAAGAGAGGAGAGTACACAGTCGGTTCAACTGAAAATATGATTGCGAATGTTTTTGTAGTAATAAATCTAAGACTAACTCGTGTTAACATGGGACCGTCGGACAAACACAGTCGGGCCCACGGAGAGGGAATGAGGCCCACAAAAGGTTGGTACCACCTCCTAACATAAAATACGTGTGTACCCTGTGTACGTACCTTGTTTAGTTCTCGTCTGTAAGCCAAAGCTAACTACCTCCTGTGACCGAGGGTCAAACCAGGACCACACAGCTGTAGCCGTAACTCATACCTATTATATTTCGTAGTTCTTTGCGTATTTCCTTCCTTTTTTTCTAAACACTTTATTTTCTCTTTCATTGCACACTCTTCCTTTCTCTTTTATAATTCATTCGTGTCGCGAGCCGACGGACTTCGTATTCTAACGTTAAGATAGTGGCGCCACTTGCGACGGTGGATTATTTTGAAATCAATTAGTCAAGATGGCCGCGTGCTTTATGACAGCGGTGGATGACAGATACGAGTATTTCCTAAATCGTGTCCTTCTATACTTTATATACTTAACTGTGCTATACTCGGAGTGGTGGATACGTTCGTGCTAACCTAATGGAAATTACAATTTTTTTCGTAAATCGACAAGACTTCGACACGGCATCCCCGGCACTTGAATGCCGTTATAAAATAATTCAAGCACGATGGACGCAGGACTTCGATAAATTTCCGGCTGAATTCAAGGAATCGTATAATGGCCGCTATTGAAGCGGCGGCGGCGACCTCGTCGTTTTAAGAGGACGGCCCGGTCGCTGATCCTTATCCGTGTAGGAAGTCATCTTCTCCGCATAGACGGGATTCAATGGCGTCGCCAGCATGTGAAGCCGACTTAAGCTCCAAGCCTTACATCCAGGTGAGTCTACGAGGAAGTTCTCCATATAATTTACCAGCACGTAAACACAATAGTTTTTCTATTTAACACGGATATTTCTCACGAGTAGTAGTAACTAAAGGAAAACACAAATAATACAAAGTAACCTAACAAAAACCCAATACTGTAATCCATTCGCAGTGCATCTCAACAAAGTGAAAATTGGCAGACGCAATAAAAGAGCTGATTCGTTAAACGAAAAAAAAGGCTGAGCAAATTTAAAAAAAACTTGACGCCGGCACATTGTTCATTCAAGAGGGCAACTCCGACCATAAGTCATAGATTAGATTCGGATCGCTTTGAGCCATTGTATGCGCATCGTCCAGAGACAATGCCCCAGTGAATCAAGCCTACGATCGTAAGGCTCAAGGGAATCCCGTGGTGTAGTGCGACAATCGCAAGAGTACGTATTAAATGTAGTTACTTACGTACTCTCGTACATAGCAGTAGGTCTGGGCTATGCGCCGCTTAACCTCGTGCTTACATAACATAACCTCACTTCGGTAGGCTGCAGAATGTATACAGCATACAACAGCCGCGTACAGCCGTGAGTCACAAGCCTTTCAGGACGTCATGAAACTTCAGTTTCAATCAGTTGGCACCATCGCTGTGTAAAATCAAATGCCAAACAGTCATTAAGTCTTCACTGTCTTTAATCATAACGCAGAGCCAAGTAAGCGAACAGTTCTCGGCTTTGTATACGTCATTTTAAATCCGAATGTATAAGGTTCACAACGATGACGTAAACTCTTGTCAAACTTGTCCCCAGGTAACAAGTGACTCCACTTCGCGCCAGGATTACTCAGCTCTCGGGTCCCTGCTGTTGCCACTGCATTACTCTACTGACCTACTGATCTTAATAATGCACTTGTCACACGGCACGACGATGACTGGCAAATGGTTAAGTTTATTACCGTCTTATTGGTCGCGACCGATGACTAACAGCCATCATCATTTCTTCTTATGACAATTTATCTTTTAGGACGATATTACCAGCTGCTGCTCGAGGCTACATTGAGAATTGGCTTACCCTCTCTATTATTCCTATATCCGGTATCGATTGCCAGCTAATGATCCAGCAGGATGGTATTGAGTCATTTCATTATTCTCTAATGATAAACTCCCGTTTAGGTGCTTAGTAATCGTTATTTCACTATTATACTGTGACTCCTCTCGAACGTGCGTTAAGCAATTTATTAACAGTGGTCATTGATTTTACAAATGCCTTTCTTTAATCAATGTACATTCCCATCTAATGATAGTAATTGCTCGATGCTTCCAGCCGTGTATTAATCAGTCATACGCATACAAATTATTACAGCAATGCTCATCTTACTAAAGCAAGACCTTTACCATCTCTTTATAACGAAGCATCATCAAAATTCAGACACGTTTGTACAACCAGTCGTCATATCGCAAAACACACGTGCGATTCACTGTCCCTTTTCAAATATGACAGACGCAACAACGTACGTATAAAACAATGTATCCTATAGCGTCCCACGTTAGAATACCAAACTGTCTATTTATATCAAGCAGGTGTTTCGAACTGAGCATACGTGATGGAATCATCAAATCGTCTACGTCATCGGGACCTCCTCGTGGCATACTCCAATCAGCATACCCATCTACGTGTCTCTACGTCTCCTACGGATATGTGGCGGGTCTATAAATCCCCCAACACTTATTCCATGTGCAAAATTTCGCGTACTCCAACGGTTTCACATGTACGTACATATGTGCACAATGTAGTCAGAGCTCGTGGCGCCAAGTAAGTTCGAAACGCACGAGCGCGGTTCTCACGGGTCGTGCGTGCTACGCACATTTACGTGGTTACGCAGGAGAGGGAGGGTGGATGCGTAGAGAGGGGAGGCACGAAGCAGTCACGCGTGAAGGCACGGACCCACGGGAGCCGCATGACAACTGGCAGTGGGGCCCAGTGGGCCCCCACGGAACCGTCCGACTGCTCGGAGCGCACTACTTTGGATTGTTGCAGACCCCTTCCCGTCTGGGAATGGGACTCGGGACGGAAATTGGGTCTGATCCAGCTGACAGTACGGAAAGTTGTATTAGAATGTTCTTGCTCAGATTAAACGGGTCTTATCAGCTTCTTTTGGGCCTTGATGTATATATACATACTCTGCTTCACAGAGCCGACCAAAATCTCGAGCACGTACTTGTACGCGACTTAAAGTATACGTAATGAGACCCATGACATCATTGTACACCGTTGTCTCCCGCATCGCGAAACGGCCGATCCGTATCTTCGGATGGGACCACCCAGCTGAGGCCCTGTTGTTATTAATGTTATTAGATGTTTAGTCCCTGCGCAAACACGAGCTTAACGGTACCGCCGTTTGCCCGTGAGCCTCTGTCGCTGCTCTGAGAATGTCCTCCACGTTCTCCTTCTCTTGTTATCTTTTTATTTCATGGCTGACGATCCTCCGAGAGTCTCCCGGAGATGCGCACAGAGAGTTGATACATTCTGGGTACGACGGAGCTGAAAAAAGGGTGTAAAAAATGTTTGTAAACTCAAAATATTAAGTAGGGAAATTTTTTAAAAATTTATATCTATGTAGTTATCAGAATCTTTATAGATATATTATTAAATTTCTTCTGACGGATTGGAAGCTGGTGACTCTTGGTTTATGGATTTCATAATAGACTGTAAAAGCCTGTTCTAAATGTATACGTAGCTGGATAAGATACGTCGTGCGCGACGGAGCCGATTATCGCCGCGACCCGTCCATCATGCAAATACGACCTGCCGTTATTGTAATACCGACCAGCCACTTATTCCCATGTACCACATAAGATAATGACGTATCATTTAGCCATTATAAACCAATAACCCGTGTAGAAGACGCCTATCGTATTTCTGTCTATTTTCACTCGCATCCCACGGATCAGACTCGATCAGAAATGAAAACTGAAATGACGTATAAAACGGGATAAAAAAAAATTTTCATTCCACACCAGTCTTCGATATCACGCATCAATACGGTTACCCTTTTGGTCCAACTTATTTTAACCTACGATACGGTACTAGTAAATCCACACGCGTTACCATTGTTAAGAATGAACTTTTTTTGTTTTCAACGAATTCAATCGCTTTCAAAATCAACTCCTCGATCAGCAATCTTCGTTACGCCTTCTTTGGATTATTTAAATGCTTAACGTTGTTCCGTACCTGAGAATGCTAATGGGCATGGCTATCCAATAGAGAACGTATAGGAACCTTACCAGAGAATTTTGGTATTTTTGGGTTCGGCTTATGGAATTTATGGGATTCCGTTTTGCTCTCGTTCTCCTACGAAATTCCATGAGCATTACGGGATTGTTTGAATCCAATTTACGATCGCACCATTGATCTGCTTTTCTATATACATATATGGCAGATGTATTTTGTGTATAGACACACACAACATATATATATGTTAAAACAGAAGACAATTTTACTCTGCTATAAATATTTTAATTACCTTGCAGGTCGTAGCTATGCATATGTACCTTGATGCAAGAATGTATGTGTATATACTTAGTGAATATTTCCGTAAGGTGGCGCCTCCTGTTCCTCGAGCATATTCCGATCATGATCTTGAACCTGTGCTCCTGATCGACCATTACAAGAACAAATTCTGTAGTACAGCACCTTGGGTAATCTGTCGAGAGTAAAACGAATGCAGACAGTAACTATTGCGCATGCGTGTTTCCCTTTATTCCCTCGATTAAGGGAATTTTTTAACGATCCCTTACGAACCTTCCTTTTTACCTTATACGCCTTATTTTATATCCTGGCCACATTCGCCAGGTCCTGTTACAAGAGGTGTATATACCAAGTTACCAGCTGCAATCTCGGGCTGCCATAACCATTCATTTTTCACAGGATCCAATTTCGAGAGGAGATCTTGACTTCAGAGGATCCTGGTTGCGACTATATAGTAAGGTAGGGACCCCCATCATTACGTCGAACTCGCGGGGCCCTTAACATGCATCAATTATTTGGTTGGGATCGCGGGTGCGCAGCATGGCTCTTGTATTGGCGATTATGCTGATCCTGATAGTGTTGATGGCGGTTGTGGCGGTTGTGGTGGTGGTGGAAGTGGAACCAGTCTTGGTAAAACCGCCAAGAAACCAATTGCACCATACATCATACTCGCACGATTCTCCTTTATAATATGGGGGTACGTGCCACATGCTACGTATAGGGAATTCCACTCTCGTTCACGGACCACCCCATATTTTTGGACGATTACGTAGGAATTTTTTAATTGCCTCATGCAAAGGCCCCACGGCACTTTTGGGAGAAGAGTGGAAAAAGTGGCTTAGCAAATAAAAAAACAACACTGAGAGCCCCTCGGATGCGAAGGGATACGTGAAATTGAAAGTGGGGCCTTATCGATGCCTCTGGATGATCAAGAAATCCTATATCTGTGTGTTATACGTCGACAACTTTATGGGCCTTGTACCTTGAGTATTGAACTGTCGTATGTCGGTAACGTTAAAAGCGCGGCAATTTTGAAATTGAGTGTCCGACGTACCTATAGGAAAAAAAGAAAGAAGCACGCATCGAATTAACGTGCTCAGTCGTAAGGCCCAAAATTTATGAGAATTTCATAAATCTTTCGTATCTCTTGAGATTTTTGTTCTTCGTACAAAAATCCGGTACAATGAACCGCAAGTGCCCGGTGTATCCTGGCGACCGCGCCTGATTCAAGCACAGCTGCTACACGCACGTCCATGCACGGGGCCTTAATATAAAGCGTCTGGGGCCAAGACGTGGGAGGCCCCATTTAAGAAAGACAGAGCGGGACTCGCGAATTCGTTCCGTTTATCGGCGTCATTGTCATCGGTTTTCACGGCAGTTTAAATTATTTAACGACAGGGGTTAACAAACCCTTCGATTACCGTAAAGAGCCGCAAGATCATCGGTCTGGTGCCGCCATTCAGACTTCAGTGCTGCCAACCGCTGTCAATCGAACGGATTGGCGAAGAGCGGCCGAGCACGCGCACGCGAACTAGATATATGTACGTACATGTACGTACAGAACGTGCGTGGGAAAGAGTGACCATCTTTTTTTACTTTTTTTTTGCTCTTACTTCCATTCCTCCTCTAAATGCCGTATCGACCGATCGTGGCCGTTCACCTTCGCACAACATGCCATCGACAAAACTTGAACCATCCAAGTATAATGAATTCCCTTAATGTCACACGGGAAATTCCCGTAACTTTTATCCTTTTTTTTTTATTTTTTATTTTTCATACAATCGAAATTCCATAGACCATTTCGTGTGAATTTATAAAATTTTATGTAATTGTAACAGCCTCCCCCCCCCCTCCTCATCGAATCGTGAATCATACAGCACTCGAGTTACATCCATCATATATATATACATGTATATATATATATATATATATATATATATATATATTGTTACGTAACGAGATCTTAGGAATTGGAAAAGACGCGATTAACCGGATAAAAAGGACGCGAAAAAAAAGGATGCATTGTGACGGATGAAGAGAAAAAGAATTTTTAATACGGACAATCTCGTAATACCATTGACTCATAGTGTTGGCGCCGTATTATATGAGCAATCGGCGCAGTTTGCGAATACCGGATTTGGAATGTTATAAGAGAAAAAAAAAATATATGTATATTGACGTCTCATCACCTCTTCGATCTTTTCATTGGATCATAGCGATAGGTACTATTGCTGTTACGTCGAACGCGGATCTTATTATGCCCAAGACTCTGGACGTAGTATGTAAATTCATTGATGGCATCGAAATCATCGGTTAGTCGAGGTGAATTGAAAATTTGGTGGAAAATTCATAAATTCACGGTAACTCACGGACAGCTACACGTGGATGTTGAATTGAAATTGATTAATGACGTATACAAAATATACGTTTGTACACGATGCGATTGATGCTAATGAGTGTCACCTTGATCAATACGTATTGTGCAATCGATTGCAATTCTCTGTTTGCAATTTTCATTTGGAATTTCAAGGAATCGTTTTTACTCAATAATTTATTCTCTTCTTGCTTTTTAAAATATTTTTTTTCCTTCTTCGTCCATCGTGCCAATTACTTTTTTTATCGTGTGTACCTACCTCCCTCTGACGCAAATCGCCCTCGAGAATAAACCCAATGTTTTTCAATAGAACGCTATTAATTCTTTGATGGAAATTATCCTGGTGTTTGTCGCTCTTTCGTAATTCAATGGATTCCTTCGTTCTAGTATTTTTTTTTCTTTTTCTTATTTTCATTCATAATCCCGCTACGGCGATGCGTGCGAATCAATTATGCGAGTATCCACGAGCCACGTGTAAAGTAGGATTAAAAAAAAATGAGGAAAGTAGGAATAAAAAAGTTTGACTTTTTAAAATTCCCGCGCTTTTTTACCGTTTCAATTTTTCTTTTTTGTATATTTACTCGGCTTATTGTGACGCGTATCTGTCGACGTCGGATGTTATTTTTATATACTTTTTTATATTCAGTCTAGTTTCAATTTCCCCCTACCTACACCTCTTTACTCCACAGTCCACAGACGTATCGGAGGCTGTTCGTCAAAATTCAATTAGTTTTTATTCCATATAGTCTAGTCGCCGCTCGTCAGTCTTGCGTCACACCCACCGATAATCAATAACGCACATCAATTTACACTGATTATGAGTACGAAACTTCATTGTCTGCCATTTTTTGTGAATTTTTAAATTGTTTTTTTTGTCTTAATTCGAGTTCATAGGTAATCAGTACTGTCGATATTACAGATCCACCCTTTTTTACCGACCGAAACGAGCACCGAGAACAAAAACAAGCCCCCCGACAAAATCCGTCTCGTAGATCGTCGATGATTGGTAATTAACGTAATCTTAACAGGTTTATATAAAACAGTAAGGCGGTTAAGAAAAATTAGCCTGCCCTTTTTTCATAACTTTTTACACAAATTCATTTCAGATCATCCAACCGTCCCCAACGAAGAAAAAGAAGGTACACACACACACACCTACTACCTTTAAAGACTTGATAGCTCGGCCGGTAAAGTTACATGCTCCTTCCGTACATTCTGGGCTCTTATCTTCTGATATACATTTCATTAAT